CCTTCACAGATGCTGCCAGACCTGCTGGGCTTTTCCAACAACTTTGTTTTTGTTCCTGATTTACAGCATCTGCAGTTCTTTTGGTTTAAAATCATTTAAACTTTGTGAGGAAGTCATGAACTGATGGGATGACTTCTCAAGACTGAACAATTCCATGTTAGTCGTAAACAAAATTATTTTTTCTGCAAACGTATATTTCCCATTTCTGTTTCAGTATTCAGTGATACTACAAAACAAAATATCTGAAAATGTATGTTCCTAATGTACATCAGAAAGAATGATATTCCTGAGTGAATGTTTTACAAATTTAGTTTAATTTAAACTAATTCATTTGTCTAATTGCAAATAAATCTTTTACTGTCTGTCCATTCATTGCCAGGCATGATTGGTTTGATTGTTGGTGGCCTAGTGTTGCTCTTGCCTGAAACAAAGGGCTTGACTTTACCAGACACCATTGAAGATGTGGAGAACCTCAAACGGTAAGCAAACAGTGACAAAAGCACTTGCCCCTTCATGTGCTTTTGCCAATAACCTTCCTCCAATTTTATTGTTTTCCTTTGCAATGCGCAAGCACTGGCAAAAACTATCCCTGGCAATGCTATGTCACTGCTGAGAGACAGACCACAACATCTATCAAGCTAGCCCTTGGATGTTCAGTGATGGGAGGGTGGGAAGTCCTCAGTACTGTTGACACACTTCTCCCTCTCTGCCCCCCCCAACCAAGTCTAAATGTGGCCCAGAGACATTATCTCTCTCGCTACTTTTCTGTGAGCTTTGCTACAACTCCCAGCCTTAGTATCTTCTTCTGGCCTTTGCTGCTGCTCCCAGCCCTTGTCCACATTCATAGCCTTTGCCACAGCTTCTGGAACTTTGGCCTCAAAGCCATCAGTGCATGCATAACCAATGTGATATTAGTACACATGCAACATCGTAACGTCAGCTATGCATGCACTGATCTGTTCTGGTCTACTGATGTCTGCTATCATTACCTGATGTGAAAATAGGCCCATTTTCACTCTAAGTAAAGAAAGGAAAGCTCTGCTGCAAGGTGGTGGGCAGAGAGGTTAACTGACAAAGGTTTCGTGGTGCAAGGCCAAAGGGTGTGGTTATGTGACAAGTAAGGAAATAAAAGATGTGTCCAAATGGATTGTGAACTGCAGATCAATGAACAGCTGCCACCGTAAAACAAGTAGAAAGAAATGAAACTGTAGAGAGAAAAAAAAATCAAATCAACTAACAAAATAACAAACGGGGCAGAGATTTCATTTGAAAATTGTTAGACTAAGTGTAGAGTGCCTACTTTAAAAGAAAGATGAGGTCACTGTTCTTCAGGTTTATAGTGAGTTTCACTGGAACACTGCAGTGGGATGAGAACAGAATGTCAGAATGGGAAAAAAGATGAAAATTAAAATGAAAAGCAACAAGAAGTTCAAGGTCATGTCTGTGGACTGAACAGAGATGTCCCGCAAAGTGGTCGCCTAGTAGAGGAGACCACGTTGTGGGCAGTGAACACTGGATGCTTAATTGAAAGAAGTACAAGTAAATGATTGCTTTACCTTGAAAGAATGTCTGGGAATGCTTCTCCTAGACTTGTCTGGTACGTGTGGACTTAGGAAAGGAGAAGGCCATTCAGCCTTTTGAGCCTGCTCTGCCATTCAATTAGATCATGGCTGATCATGCACTTTAATACCACTTCCGTCACACTAGCTCTATTTCCTTCATGTCATTAGATCCCGCAAAAGGTTAGGGTTAGCCTAATCTAGCCTAAATTATTGACATTGGTAGAGAATTCCAAAGATTCACACCTGTCAGAGAAAAGAAATTTCTTCAAAAAAAACTCTACAAAGCTTGCCAAACATGACTTCCTGTTCATAAATTGATGTTGTTTCTGCCTAATTTTACCATTCTTTTCTAAATGTCTGAAGTCATAGATCATAAATCATAGAATCCCTACAGTGGGGGGGCAGGCCCTTCGGCCCAACAAGTCCACACTGACCCTTTGAGCATCCCACCCAGACCAATCCCCCTATAACCCAACTGAGCTACATACCCCTGAACACTACAGGCAATCTAGCATGGCCAATCCACCTAACCTGTACATCTTTTGGACTGTGGGAGGAAACTCAAGCACCCAGAAGAAACCCACGCAGACACTGGGAGAATGTGCAAACTCCACACAGACAGTTGCCTGAGGCTGGAATCGAACCCTGGTCCCAGGCGCTGTGAGGCAGCAGTGCTAAACACTGAGCCACCGTGCCGCCCCAAATCAATGGGTAAAATGTTGTGGGTGTCACAGATATGGCTCCATGAGGACCAAGGCTGGGAACTAAATATCCAAAGATACATGTCCTATTGAAAGGACAACAGATGGGCAGATGCGGTGGGGTAAGAAATGAAATTAAATTGACAATGAATAATATAGAGTCTGAAACTGTAGAATCAGTATGGGTAGAGTTGAGGAACCGCAAAGGAAAAAAAATACCCTGATGGGAGTTATGTACAGGCATTCTAGAAGAAGTCAGGATGTGGGGCAGAAAATAAATCAGGAGCTAGAAAAGGCATGTAAGAAAGGCACTATGACAATAATCATGGGGGACTTCAAAATGCAGGCGGACTTGGAAAATCAGGCTGGTTGCAGATCCCAAGCAAAGGGATTCATAGAATGTCTACAAGATAAGATTTTTTTTGGAGCAGCTTGTCATAGGGCCCTCCAGGGACAGGCACTACTGGATTTGGTGATGATTAATGAGGCAAACTTGATTAGGGACCTCAAGGTGAACGAACCCCTAGGGGATAGTGACCATAACATGAGAGAATTCATCCTGTAGTTTGAAAGGGAAAAGCTGGAATCAGATATAACGATATTACAATTGAGTAAAGGTAACTACGAAGACATGAGGGAGGAGCTGGCCAGAGTTCATTGGAAAATGAGCCTAGCAGAAATGGAGTAGCAATGGCAGGGGTTTCTGGGGGTGTTTCAGGAGGTACAGCAGAAATTCATACCAAGGAAGAAGAAATATTCTAAGGGGAGGATGGGACAACCAAGGCTGACAAGGGAAGTCAGGACAGCTTAGCAGCAAAAGAAAAAGCATACAATATGCTGAAGAATAGTGGGAAGCCAGAGCATTGGGAAGCCTTTAAAAACCAGCAGAGGATAATGAAAAATAAACAAGAAGTGGGGAGAGGATGAAATTTGAGTGTAAACTAGCTAGCAATATAGAAGATTGCAATTTTTTTTAGATAGATAAAGGATGAGAGAGTCAAGAATGGACATTGGACCACTGGAAAATGAGGGGAGAGGAGTAGTAATGGAGAACAAAGAAATAGTGGAGAAATTGAATAGGTACTTTGCATCAGTTTTCACAGTGGAAGACACCAGCAGCATACCAGAACTTCAAGATAGGGGGCAGCAGTGAGTGTAGTGGCCATCATTAAGGAGAAGGTGCTGGGGAAGCTGAAAGGACTGAAAGTGGACAAATCAGCCGGACCAGATGGATTATGCCCCAGAGTTCTGACCAGATTGTGGTGGCATTGATGGTGATCTCTCAGGAATTACTGGAGTCAGGGAAGGTTCCAGAGGATTGGAGAATGGCCAATGTAATACTCCTTTTTAAGAAGGAAGGAAGACAGAAGACAGTAAACTATAAGCTGGTTATTGTGTGGGTCTGGAGTCACATGTAGGTCAGAAAGGATGGCAGTTTCCTTCCCCAAAGCATATTAATGAATCAGATTGGTTTTTCTGACAATTGACAATGGTTTTATGATCATCATTAGACTCCTAATTTTAGATATTTATTGAATTCAATTTCTACCATCTGCCATGGGCAGGATTCAAACCCAGGTCCCCAGAACATTACCAGGGTCTCTGGATTAATAGTTTAGTGATAAGACCACTAGGCCATCACTTCCCCTTAACTCAGGGTAAATATTTGAGGGAGTTTGGAAGGGGCGATCTCATTGAAACTTACAGAATACTAAAGACTTGAATTGAGTGGATGAGAAGATGATGTTTCCACTAGTAGCAGAGACTAGGACCCAAGGGCACAGCCTCAGTGAAGGGATGATCTTTAGAACTGAGGACAGTGAATCTGTGGAATTTATTGCCACAGAAGGTTGTGGGGGCCATGTCATTGAGTGTACTTAAGACAGAGATAAGGTCTTGATTAGTAAAGACATCAAGGGTCACAGGGAGAAGGCAGGAGAATAGGGTTTAGCAATATAACAGCCATGGCTTGAAGAATCAAATGGCCTAATTCTGCTCCTGTATATAATGGTCTTATGGTCCAGTTATCATGTCCTTTATAATAGATTCTAACATTTTCCAACAATCGTGGAAAGAGGAGGGACGTTAGCAGTGATTGAATAGTGGACCAGGGTGTAGAGGAGAGAGGGGTCCTGTCAGAATGCTGAAATAGTGAGTGGAAAATGTTTGGTGGTGACATCATGCTGGACATGTGGAAATGGTGTAAGATGATCTGTTAAACAGGGAGGCTAATAGACTAGGAAGTGAGCTCAAGTGGATCCCTACCATACGTGAAATGGAACACAGTCAACGTCCCTGGTAGGCATAATGAAAGGAGATCTTGTGTTAAGGAAAAAGGAGAACATTTCAGGAGTACTGTTAATGGAAGTTGCATCCTTTAAACTGAGCTGTACAGAAGAGATTTTCAAACAAGATTAGACTGCAATGTATATAACTTAATCTAGAGTTATACCACAGATCACTTGGTGAATAGATGGAATAGGCTCAAAGGGCTGATTGGCCTATTCTGTTTCATTTATTGCTCTAAGAAGATATTAACATGGATGCCAACAATTTTGTTCAGAAAAACAGGTTTTAATGGAGGCATGACATGTAGTGAGTTGAGATGTTTAAGGAGGGAACTCCAAAGATTGGATCCTGGGCAGCCCAAGGAAGCCTTAAAGTTACTAAAATCAGGGGTACGCAAGAGGCCAGGATTGAAAAAGTGCAGATATTTCAGAGGGGTGTTATGCTGGAAGTCTGGTGCAGGAAGAAGGCTATTGAGAGATTTGGAAACAAGGATGGAAGTGTTCAAATTGATAAATGTATGTATTGGAGAACAATATAGGCCTGAGACGTGGTGAGTGATTGTGGAAGTTGCACAAATTTAGGATGAGCTGAAGTTTAAGAAGAGTACAAAATGAAAGATGGGCCAGAAAAGCATGTTTTTGGAGGATTGGAATGATGGCAGCCAAATTATAGGTGAAGAGTCAGAACATGGGGAAGTACAGGCTAACAAGGAATTCAGAAAGGGAAGTCGATAATCAACAGTACTTGGAGAAGAGTTTTTCCATGGCAAAAACAGGAAGAAGTGAGAAGGAGATGATGTGATGAGTGGAAAGCAATTCAGAAATGTGATCAAAGATGGCCTTATCTGTGATTGATCCTATGTTAATGGAGAGGTGATGTGAGAATCCAAGATCGGGACATTGGCTATGAACGTGCATAGGTAACTTCATATGGAGGTAGAGATTAAAGGACAGGATGACAATGAACTCGGAAGTTGAAATCATTGACGATGAGAAATTGCTCAGTGGACAGGTTAAGGAGAAAAATAGTCAACCTTTCTTAGCAACAAACTTGGTATGTTACTTGGGCGGATGGTAACTGACATCACAACAAAACGCAGATGATTTGGTGATTATCTTGTTGATTGCTGTGTGCAAATGGCTGCCACATTTCAAGATTCTAATAGTGACTACACTTCAAAGGTAGATAATTATTGTGAAGTGCTTTGAGTAATCCAAGGCCATGAAAGGCTGAGATATAAGGAGTGTTGCTAAGCCCATGTCTAAATTTGTTTACCTCACCCACAACCAGAATTGAATGTATAACGCATCATAACTATAGAAGAAATGAAGATTTAATCTACGTTAAAGCTGACACTAACTATATCAGATATAATACTTCTATCATGAGCTTTGTACTGATTGTGTTCATTTCTTCTTCCAGTTATATTTTTGTCCCTAAGTGCTACACAGCCTCAGGGTGTAATCACAGACAGAGCAAGAATGGTGTTAGAGAACTAATTTGGGTTTTTGTAGTCACCTTTTCAAATGCCAGATGGGAACGTAAAATCTCAGCGTTATTAGTCCAGGACTCTGAATTGTGAATCCAGTGATAGAACAATTATATAACCATACTCTGCTCCTCAATTCCCCCACCAAAGAAAGAGACACAGTTTTGACTGCTTATTTTTGCCCTCTGACAGCCAGCGCAGTATTGTGTTTAGACAGTGCTATGGTTATACATAAAGCAGCAATGCACAGCTTGAAGTGTGCTCAATACCGGCACACCTCCCACAAAGCCCTGTTCTTTATATTGCTGGGCATCTGGGTCCTGTACATAACTATATGTTAAATACCCTTTCAATGTCAATATATTCCCCCATTCTACATTATAAAATCATATGCCCCGTTCCTGTAAAAGATATACCAGCGTTTGGAAGGTAACATGATCGGGATTGAGTTAGTAAGTATGCACCATCGTTACATGGAAGCAAATGGACTTTTTATACTGTACAATTTCATATTTTTGTTAATAACATCGTAGAAACGATGAGTCTAAAGTGCTAGGACAACTGGAGCTTTTAGACAGAGAGAGATTGCTTTATCTTAGGTAAAGTATTAAGGAATATGGAGTAATGGTGAGAAAATGGCTATTGAATAGTAGACCAAGCCCAAAGGGCTGAATGGTTTTATTGGACTTAATGTTTTTGTGTATCCTGCATTGGGAATGTGTTGCAGATTACTGTATCATTAGTACATTCTTTCTCTAGACCAAAGAAAAAGATTCTGAAGAGACACCACCAGCAATCTGTTCTGTATTCAACAGATGTCAAGGATCCAGCTTCAGTGAAGATGGTTGTTGAAGGATGAATTAGCTTTAGATATTTTCCACTCAACCATAAAGGTACTATGACATACCTGAGCAGCATGTGGGACTTGAACCCAGGCCTTCTGGCTCAGAGGTAGGGACAGTACCACTGTACCACAAGAGTGCTCCAATGAATTAGCTTCTAGATATTTTCTAATCAACCTGTTCAGAGATGTTATGACACACCTCTGCAACAGATAAACCCCCACAGCTCCTTGCTCAGAGGTACGGACTCTTCCACTATGCCACAACAGCCCTAATGTATTAGCTTCGTGTTTGACACAAACAGTTAGCTGCAGCTATTTAGCCTTTTACTTCACAATCCAATAGTATCCATTTTTTTCTGGTGATTCACTAACATCTGTGATTAGGATTAGTGTTTGTTTTCTTTAATATGTGGTACAGCTTTCAAGTAACAAATCAGAGGCTATAAATCACTTAAAAATTACAGACTCAAAAATGCACCTTTAATGTTAAATATGAAATATTTAATCTGTCCTCAAACAGTGCTTAATGATAAAAGAAAACCATGTGAGAAAATAAATTCTTGTATTTTAAACTTGAGATTGGGTAGTCTTGACCCCAGTGGTACGACTGAAAGAACTGGGTGTTGTAAACTTGAGCTTCAGTACACACAAAAATGAAGCCGACTGAAGACAATTGTACAGAGGAATACTGATTTAAGTGACATCAATAATCACTGCGCCCCTCAAATCCTGCTTCATTCAATTACGTTAGAATCTATTTGCAAGGTTTGTTGTTATAGAATGAAAACCTCACTTTTGCATATACAGCTTGAGGCTGGACTCTCCTAAACTAAGAGGTGTATAAAAAAAAAGCACAATATCCCTAGTGTCAGATCTCATCCTTTGTTTCCACATTTCAGTCGGTTTCTTATCTACACTATACAGAAATGCTTGAAGACAGCAGGACAAATAAGGAAGGCCATTAAAACACAAATATCCAGTATCTTTAGCTTTATTAAAAGAGGCACAGAAGACAAAAGCAAAGAAATTATATTAAACACAGTGGTTAGACACAAGCTGCAGAATGTTATGCTCCAAACCTTCAGAAGAATATCAAGGCTTTACAGCATTTTGCAGAGAGATTTATTAGAATGCTAATAAATGTACTCCATGTCTATCACCAAGAGTGGCTTGATAGCACAACTATGGACTGAGATGGCTGAGACCTGAAGAATATATCTGGGCCTGAGGCAGGTGATGAGGGAAGCAACAAGAGGGAAAAACCTACTTAACTACACCAATCTACTTGTCACAGATACGCTTATGTACAGAAATAGTGACAGGAGTGATCACTGCACAGTCCCTGCAGAGACAAAGTTCAGTTCTCACAATGAGGATTCACTCATATCATGTGGCATATTATGGTTCTAAATGGGATTGCTTCAGATCAAATCTAGAAACTCAGAATGGGGTATCCGTTACCATCAAGCAAGGGGAATCAGCCCTGGTTAAATAAGGAGTGCAGGAGGGCATGTCAGGAGGAGCACCAGAAATAGCTAAAAATGAGGTGTTTACCTAGTGAACCTACAACACGGCATGACTTGCATGTCAAACAGCTGATGCAACATCCAATGCCCCCAAACAATTTAGATCTGATCTAAGCTCTGCAGTCCCACCACATCTAGCAAATGATCCATTTCGGCTACCTCTTAGGATTCCCAGCATCAAAAATACCAGTCTTTAGCCACTTCAATTCATTTTACATGATATCAAGAAACACCTGAAGGCTCTAGATACTACAAAAGGTATGAGTTCTGACAATATCTATCTTGGCTATGGTACTGAAGATTTGTGCTCCACAACTAGCTGTACCTCTAGCCAAGCTGTGCCAGTACAGCTGTGACACTACCCTAATAAATGGAAAATATGGATACATTCTGTCTACAAGAATACCAAATCTGTTCTGGTCAATTATCATCTCCCATCAGTCTACTCTTAATAATTAGCAAAGTGATTAAAATTGTCATTGTCAGTGCTGTAAAACATCACCTACTCAGCAATAAGGTGCTAACTTATGTTTAGGTGGCCAGGTTTCGTTTAAATTTTAACTCAGACAGGTTGACTATGACTGGTCAGGGCAATGCACTGAGAAATAATTCAGAAAATGGCTATCACCTATTTTGGTGTATTGAAACAGATTCGGTGCATTTGCAGAGAACACAGCCTTGTCATAGAGTCATAGAGCTGTACAGCATGGAAACAGACCCTTTGGTCCAACTTGTCCATGTTGACCAGATACCCTAAATTAATCTGGTCCCATTTGCCAGTATTTGGCCCACATCCCCGTAAACCCTTTCTATTCATGTACCCATCTATATGCCTTTTAAATGTTGTAATTGTACCAGCCTCCACCACTTCCTCTGGCAGCTCATTCCATACATGCACCACTCTCTGCATGAAAAGTTGCTCTTTAGGTCCCTTTTAAATCTTTCCCCTTTCAACTTAACCTATGCCCTCTTGTTTTGGACTCCACTATGTTGAGTAAAAGACCTTGACTATTCAGCCTATCCACACCTCTCATGATTTTATAAACCTCTATAGGGTCACCGCTCAGCTCTGACGCTCCAGGGAAAATAGCCCCAACCTATTCAGCCTCTCCCTATAGCGCAAACCCTCCAACCCTGGCAACATCCTTGTAAATCTTTACTGAACCCTTTCAAGTTTCACAACATCCTTCCTATAGCATGGGACCATAATTGATCACTATTCCAAAAGTGGCCTAACCAATGTCCTGTACACCTCAACATGACCTCCTAAGTCCTATAATCAATGCACTGACCAATAAAGGCAAGCGTACCAAATGCCACCTTCACTATCCTGCCTACCTGCGACTCTACTTTCAAGGAACTGTGAATCTGCACCCCAGGGTCTCTTTATTCAGCAACACTCCCCAGATCCTTATCATTAAGTGTATAAGTCCTGCCCTGATTTGCCTTTTCAAAATACAGCACCTCGCATTCATCTGGATTAAACTCCATCCGTCATTCCTTGACCCATCTGAGGTAACCTCCTTTGCAGTCCACTACACCACCAATTTTGGTGTCATCTGCAAAATCATCTGTAAATGATAAAAAGCAGCGGACTCAGCACTGATCCTTGTGGTACACTGCTGGTAACAACCTTCAGTCTGAAAAGCAACCCTCCACTCTTTTAAATGAAAGGTGTAAACAGGAAAAAACCAAGACCACCCAACAGTGAGCCCATCAGACACTCCTGGGACAGGGACAGAACCAGGTAAAGCACAGAGCAAAGCCACATTCTGCTCTTCTGAAGCAGAAAATAAAGCCACCTTCACTTTGTTAAACAACAATAAAGACACTATTGCTCTGGGGGAGAAAACAAAAACAAATAGATGAGCAAAAAAATGTCTCTACCTTGACTCTGTCCCCACTAACCTCTCTTGGGCAGGGACCACAGAGGGCCAGAATAAAAATAAACTCAAGCAAAATCAAAGTAAACAAATAATTAAACAAACAACCAATGAAATAAATAAATTCCCTCTGCTCCATCTCTATCGAATACTCCTGGGACAGGGGCAACAATGGTTTAAAATCCAGAGGAAATTCCCCTGCTCATTTCAACTAAAGATAAAATTCCACTCACACTGATTCCCATCAAGCAGATCTGAGACATGGACAGTACGGAGCTAAAACAGAAGCCCCCTTGGCTCTTGGGTCCAAAATTGGAACAAAGGGAAAATAAGGCAGACCTCTTCCCGGGGCACCAAAGCAAAAATAAACACAAACTCAAAAGGCAAAATGGAAACCTAGATTACAGAGACAATTAACTAAATCAGAATATCATTTTCCAAGCTGATAATACACTCCAGCCCCTGCAGAACCCAGCGGCCAAAAGGCCTGGAACGTGTGGGTGAACACCATGTACTCCCTCTCCAGGGACACCTGAGCATGTATGTAACTGTGAAGGAGGGTCAGGAGTAATGAACCCCTCTTCGGTCCGCTGCCTGGGCCTGTTGATGGTCATCTTGGCCAGGCCCGGGAGCAAAGCCACGAGAAGGCTCGTAGACTTGTCTGCCCCTCCCCACACCAAGTGCCTGTAGATCAGCAGTGTGGGGCTGAACTGCAACCAAAGTTTTAACAGCAGCCCCTTCAAAAAACTAAAAAGGGGCTGCAGACGAACGCACTCGACATAAATGTGAAACACCGTCTCCTCCAGATTTATGAGCAATACCTGCACAACACTCTGAGCAGTCCTGTCCAGTGTGCGAAGGTGAGTGGTCACCTTGGTCTCCAACTTGTGTCAATTCGCTGTCCAGGATTCCTCTGCAGGGCAAAGATGGACTCCCAGGTAGGGAAGGTGAGTGGTATTTAAAATGAACCACCGGAGATCTTCTGGCAGAGATCCATCTTCCGCTGACCGACCAGAAGTCCCAAACACTTGCTCCAGTTGATCCTTGCGGAGGATGCCGCAGAGTAGATCTCCAGGCACTCGCACATCCCCTGCAGGTCAGCTGGGTCTGTGAACATGAGGAGCACATTGTCGGCATATGCCAAAAGAACTACCTCCAGCCCTGGCCCGCGTAGAGCCAAACCGGAATGCCACTTACACAAGAGGCGCAGGAATGGCTCCACACAGAGAGGATGAAGCTGGATGGGGCAGCCTTGACGTACTCCTCTCCCAAAGCACAGGGGCACCGCCAGAGACTGGTTAACCTTCTCTCAGCGCTCCTCACCGACGTACAGAAGTCAGATCCGGGCAACAAAGTGCGTCCTGAACCCAAATGCTCGCAGAGTCCTGAGCAGATACTTGTGATCCACTCTTGTCAAATGCCTTTTCCTGATCAAGGGGAGAGAAAGGCACTCGACCAGCCAGCCTCTGGGAATGACGGATCATGTCCCGGACCAGGTGGATGTTGTTGTGGATGCTCCGACTCAGGATGCTGTAGGACTGGTCTGGGGTGGATTGTGTGGCCCAGTGCCAGACGCCAATTCTTTAACAAATGGTGATCCCTATTCTTAGGCAACAGAGTGATGACAGCCCTGTGCCAAGAAAGGGGTATCTCTCCGGTCGCGATACATTCCTCCAGGACCTGCACTTAGTCGTCCCCCAGGACATCCCAGAACATCCTGAACAACTCCGTGGTTAGCTTGTCCAGCCCCAGGGACTTGCCCCTGGAAAGACAATTGAGGGCTGCGGTCAGCTCCTCCAACCTCAGGGCCATCAAATCTCTCAGCACTCTCGGGGCTGACCTGTGGCAGGTCCTCCCACAGAACAGGGTGAGCTTCCTCACTGGAAGGATCCAGAGAGAAGAGAGCCATATGATAGTCCCACACTTGGACCCCGAAGCCACCTAAATCCGAGATGAGGGATCCGTCATCAGCTAGCAACACAAGAAGCTGCTGGCGGACCTTGTGCCTTTTTACCAGTGAGTAGAAAAAGGGGAGCCACAGTTAAGATCCTGAAAGAGCTGGACCTGTGATCTTATGTACATACCCCGGGAGCCAATGAGATACAGACCCCAGAGCGCAGCCTTCTTCCCTTCGTACAGCTCCCACAGGGCTGGCTCCACATTGGGCTGACCTAGACATGACTCCAGGTCAAGCACATCCTTCTCAAACCCCCTCGATTCTTGATTTCTGCCTCAACATTAACCCTCGCATGTAACCTCGCGTGTACTGCTACAGAAGACACAGGCGTGAGTCTTGCCCACATCCCAACACAGTCTGAAGGAGGTTGAAGCCCTCCTCCTTCCTTCTCCAGCCGGTCCAGAAGTGAAGAAACAAGTCCCAGAACCATTCGTCCTTCAGCAGTAGCTTGGTAAAGTGCCAATACACTGACCTCGCCCTGGTGCTGAACGGAATGAGGTCTGCCCAGACCAGGCTGTGTTCAGAAAACAGCACCTACTACATGGAGGCCTTTGGAACACCGGAGGTGTACGCCCTGGAAACGGAGAGGCAGTCAATTCTGGACACTCTGACCCCAGGCCTCACAAAAGTGAAGGCAATGGAATCAGGATGAGATTTCGCCAGAGGTCTATCAAGTCAAAGGTCTTAAGCAAGTTCCTCAACTTCCTCACTGACGCTGAGCTCTTCTGAGTACTGCCATGGTCTCACCTTTTGAGGGTACAATTGAAATCTCCCCCGAGAAGGATGAGTTCACCCTCCCCAATGGAGCTAAGAAGTGAGTACACTTCCTTGAAGAGTCACGTCTGTTCAGGTGCCATCCAAGGCACGTATACGTTCATGAAGTGAAGTACCGTGCCTCCGAAATGAACCGTGAGTTGGAGCAGATGGCCTGGCATATGACCCTTGACCCTTAAGATCTCCAGCTGAAATAAAGGGGCCAACAAGATAGCCACACTGCCAGAATCAGAGGCCAGTTCTCTCATGAAGACCTTTCCCCGCCACGCTAGGTGCCACATAGCTTTGTCTCCTGAAACACTACCGGTTTCTTCCAGGATGCTCACCATGTACTTTCACTCCCTGAGGAGTGAGAAGATACGAAATCTGCACTGGGTCTTCCCACTGCTGTTGACATTGAGGCTATCTACAGATGTCTTCATGGCTGCAGTACGTGCTGCCACTACCAGTTAAAACATTAAACCCAGTTTACTGAGCAGGTGCGGGGACTCTTTCTCCCTTCCACTCCCCGAGGACGCTGCAAAGGAATCCCTGGCACCACCACTTTGCTTTCTTGTCCACTCCCGGGACCACCAAAAGCTGCCAGCCAGACTTGACGAGAAGTGGTAGAGAATTCCACCAGTCCATAGCCAACTGGACTCTGTTTTGGCAATCAAGCACAGCTTGCAAAATGTCGTGGAGTTCCCCAATGGGGATGAGGGGAACTTCGTCTGTGAGCACCATGTATCTCTCTGCCAAATCTAA